GTTCCAGCACCAGGCACATGGCCTTCAATTCTAGAGACGGTACCAGAACCTTTAACTTCTAAATGTCAAAATTATGCGCTATCGTGGTTGGTATTTAAGCAACAAGCACCAAAGGATTATTGGATGGCCGTGTCGGTGCATCTATTTACACCTCAACGGAATTGTGCTTGGTTGAAGAATTATCATATATAAATCTCCTTGATCAGTATGAAGATATTACGACAGCAGTCCCTGATCCTATGGAAGTGACACCTGTGAAGGTTAAATCTTGTTTTTGTTCAAATGGTACTCATGGTGGAGATGGTATGTTTATGGGAATATCAGAATGTGATAACTATATGATGCAATTTGGACGACGTGATCAAAGGGCTATTGATGACATGTATACAGTGACCTTTCATGCACCACATCGCCGACTGAGTAAAACTCTAAGTGTAAAGAATCAAACTTTACCGGGTAATTTTACCATAGGAACATTTAAAGATATCTGGTGGATTTGTGGTGATAAGGCATACTTATTTTTACCTTATGGTTGGATTGGATGTTGTTATATGGCACAGTTGAAACTTCCGTATGATGTCTTTGTTATTCAGAAGGGACAAGGGTCTGATGAGGATAACTCTACGACAATCTCTAGCAGTAGAAAGAAAAGAGATTTGGCACAATTTCACAACTTGGAGTCTTATCATTGGAGGATAAGTTTGGGAGAGAAATGGGGAATAGGATTGTTTCCATGGTATGGTGTTACATACTTAGCTGATCATATTGATAATATTACATATACCCTGCAAGGTTTTGCAAACGAGACCATAAAAGGTTTTGAATATTTGTCAAATACTCAGAGGAGTCATCGATTGACGTTGCTGAAACATGACATGGCTCTTGATTACATTTTGGCCAAACAAGGTGGCCTCTGTGTAGCTTTGAATCTAACTGGAGAAGCCTGTTACACTTTGATTCCTGATGCTACTGACAATATGACTAGTGTCATAGATGCTATGAAACTAATTAGGGATTCATTTGGTCCATCAGAAAGAGCGGGATGGTCTGCGAATACCTGGTTACAAGACCAATTAGGACCAATAGGATCTATAGTGTTTCAGATTCTTGCCGCTACTGAGTGGTAATGACCTAAGTGAAGGTGAGGAGGTCATAGAGATTGGAGAGAAATATCCATTTTTGAATATCTGAATTCAACATAGACTCACTATTATTTTGAACTGGAAGTGAATTGATAAAAGGGGGGAATTGAATATTTTAATCATGTATATTAATCATGTATATGTTAATCATGTAGTGGAATAATGTGAAAGTATGATACAAAAATGAATATCTTTGATGTTTTTGTATGTACAAAGATACTGGCTGTTGATTTTTCTTCCCAGGATGATATTTGGGAGACCAATGTGAGGGTGGCTGATTGTCCAGAGATCCTTCCAGATTAATGGAGTTGAAACAACCAAACTTAAGAAAATGGAGGATGGAAATGGACAACGGAAACCTGAATGAAGACATCATGATGAGGGGTTTCGATTGAAAAATCATTGAGGGTTTATTACAATGTAACTTGTAATATTGATAAATATTTTTGTATGTTTTACTTTATAGTAGATATTTTTAGCAAGACATATTTTTCTGGAACTGTATAAGATGCATATATTGGGACCTCAGGTGTTTTCTTTCTTTATCGATCCTTAGGGAAAGTGGTGTTAGGTAGGGAGAGGTCCATTGGAAGGTGCGATGGGTCGACCAGCCTGACTTTGGACAATTTTTAGATTTTATTTCTGAGGTTTTGAATGTGTGCATTTATATATCATCCTGAAAAGTTTTCATAACCCTTTTCTTTTTAATTGGTTTGGAGTACTATAGGTGGTTGCCTGGGGCAGAGGAACCGTGAGAGAGTTTTCCTGTCTAGATTGTTTGATGGATAATAAAGAAAGATAGCTGCCTGATGGGTTTTTCGCTCTCACACTCCACAAATAAAATTTTACTATATTACTAAGGTTAAGCATGGACAGAAGTGATTCGTATGAGGCTAATTAACATCATAATTGTATAATTTATCTCGTTTGCGAGACTATAGTCTCGCTAGGGGGGACTATGAAGTGTCTGATGTAACTAGGACAGAGATAATATAAGTTTACAACGGGTGCGTCTTGTGATAGTATCTGAAGGAGATTTAGGAGTCCCCTTAGGTGGAATGTTTAAATTGAGGTATTGTATAGGAGTAGTGCCACATGTGGTTGTGTAACGTGATGTTTTATGACCCATGACGAAAAGCGGATGTTTGGATGCATATAAGCAATTGTCTCTGTGTGTTCGAGAGAGATCATTATTGGCTTCTTGATCCTCCTGGTCAGACGTGACCAGTGATTCTGTTTCTTGCTTAAATAAAATTATACTCTTTGAAAGCAAGTCAGTCTCAACGGCGAATTTCTTCATCATCAAACATATCAACAACAAGGAAATCCACATCATGACCTTTTGGGTTAATATTAAAGACCTTCTGTTAGAAGAGGTTATGTGTTCAATGCTCTTTGAAGACCAGATCCATGGATTTGGATCCCCATAGGAAACAGTTCTGTCCCCAGAGAGCCAAGTCCATCAACACCTGCTGACCTGATAACTGCTCCCATATCTGGCAAACCAAGGGGAGTCCAAAATGGCCGTGTGGGGGGTGTCTTAAAAGTGCCTACCTTCTCTGGTCCAAACAAATCCAGAGCATTCAGGAGCAGAATCTAAAGTTAGAAGGAGGACATACTGGCTGCTGCATTGTTGTCAGAGAAGCCAGCACTTCAACATAACATGTTTCCTTAATGTCTGATCAGAGAGTAAGATACCTTTATCATCTCACTCTCTACACATCTCACTGATTGGACCTTTAAGCAGAGTTGTTGTGGAAATCAGAAGCAATCTGGACAGATTTGGAAAGGCTTTTAAACACACTAGTCTTGTACCAGAATTCCTCTTTTCACAGAAAGTTAAAAGCATGAATGAAATATCTTCTGTGGGAAGAACTGGGATAAACTATGAGCTTTAAACTGCATTAGCAAGCTCCACTTAGTGCATAACCTCTGAGTCAGGTATATATAACTTCCAGAATAAACCACCTCGACGTGAGCACGTGGCTCAGCACATTATCCTTCCTAACTTTCAACACACTGAAAAAAAAGATTATCAGACGACAAGATGAGTGAGGCAGGTAGGAGAGTCTGAAAGTTCCCCGTGATGGACGGATGTTAAAGTGAGAGCACTTGAAAGAGGAACATTCATCAGGCAGGTAAACGAGCAGCTGATGGGGGGATGAGAGACGCTGGAGAGGAATCCACTTAGAGGAGATGTATGGAGCTGTGGGAGCACCTCTGAACCCTCGGCCTGTCACCAGCAGTTAAATAACCTCCACCATTTATCACACACACAGACACAAACACACACACACACACACACACATAAACACACACACACATACCTAAACACACACACGCTAACTTGCAAAGAGCAGACACACTGAAGAACCCAGTCACCCTGTCAGGAGTGTTGCTTTGGGATAAAACAGAAAACGTGTGCTTTGAAGAGATAATGAATGAACACACAGAAGTTTACACACACAACAAAAGAACAGATGAGCGGCGCTCGGTCATCCTGGACGACATGTTAATGACGTACTCAGGTTGAAGTTGAAGCTGAGGAAAGATGTTTTAACTCAGTTTCGTCTCATCTGCTGAACCTTCAATCTCTGAGGTCAAAGGTTTGTGCGTCTCATTTCTCACTGCCGTGCAGGTCGAAGAGCTCAACGCCCAATTTCCCCCAAAAATAATTAACTGGGGATTGTTGAAAAAATTAAAAGTGGGTTTAACAAAAAAATAACACTTCCTAAATGCTGCACGTCCGTCCTGTTTCTATGACAACAGTCTGTTGACAACGGCCGCTGTATGACCAACACTGCTCTGTTACTTTTTACAGCATGTTTTATATTTGAGATCGTTTATTTCCCAATCAGACGCGGAGCGAGGAGGATGTGGATACAAGATACGATCTGTTGGCAGAAATACAGGGAATATCATACATTTGGAAAAGTTGAAAGATTTTCAACTTGAACATCCAGAGAGGCTGTGCAAAAACTTTAAAAAAAGACGCTGGGCGCTGCGCTTTTTCTCCAGGCAGCCGCTTTCTGCTGCGAGCGCTCTCTATCCGTTGAAAACAATTAGAAAAAGATGCTGGCACTCAGAAAAACGCGAGGTTCTTCTTTCCCCTCGACTTGCTTTCTCTTAAAGGAAGAGGGTGCGACATGTTCCACACAAATAAATGATAAAGTCTGTCCTGTGTAAATGTGTCTCTGAGTCCTGACTGTCTACAATGAGGGAGAAGCTCGAGTCTCGCTGGCTGTGTTGTTGTCAGAGCCGTGTTTACATGGACGGGACGGCCGGCTCCTCCCCTTGTGTATAAAAGCTGTTTTAGTCAAGAACTAGAGAGAAGAAGAAGAACATACTCACTGATTATTTGGATGTTAGTAAGAGTTTTTAGATCACGCTCATTCTGTGTCAGTTTACATGAAATGTGAAGCTACGAGCTAACTAAAGAGCGCTAACATTAGCATGCTAACACAACAATGTGAAGCTACGAGCTAACTAAAGAGCGCTAACATTAGCATGCTAACACAACAATGTGAAGCTACGAGCTAACTAAAGAGCGCTAACACTGGCATGCTAACACAACAATGTGAAGCTACGAGCTAACTAAAGAGCGCTAACATTAGCATGCTAACACAACAATGCAGGACACAGGTGATTGCAGCTCGAGGACAATTTTGTCCTCCGCTTGCACCAAACTCCTTTGTACGAAGGCGAGCAGAGAGGGGTTGGAGGTGTGTCTCTGGAGGAGAGCGGAGGCTTCAGGATGGAGGAGGCGTGGCCTAACAGCAGTTTGTTTTGGTTTCATGCTGGAGCTCAAGGGCGACATCTACTGGATCAAAAAGTTGCATTCTTCCTTTAATCCCTAACCCCTCACCTGTGCCCAGGTGTAGGACGTCATATGGTCCGTCCTCGGCGTCCACTCGGTCCACTACGACCTTCTTCAGCATGTAGGTCGAGTTGACGTGGGTCAGGATGGGTCTGCCGCTCAGAGGTATGACGGGCTCAAACATCAGCTGGTGCTGCCTCATGAAGCTCACCACCTCGTCGGGGAAGTCCTTCGTAGACTTGTGAAGGGCGTCGTAGGTCTCACTGGGACACTGCAAGAGGAGAAGAAGGTGAGTGAATGTGATGAGAGGTTAAGGCTCCTCAAGACTCCAGTGTAAAAGTTAAAGGAATCTTTTGTTATTTTTTGGTTTTATTTTGTGTTGTCTTCAGCTAAGTTTGGTGTACTTCCTGTTTCGATAAAAACCTTCTTTTATTATGAAAGAAAATAAAAGCAAAGTTATAGGACACGCCCACCAGGAAGCTCATTTAAATTTCCCTGCGTCTGCACAGATAGCTGACCAATAGGAGGAGAGTGGGCACGTGGGGAGGTGGGCCTTAAAGAGACAGTAGCTGAAATGAAGCGTTTCAGGCAGAGGCTGACATGAGGGATTTTACTGACACAACGTTACTCAACAGGTGTCCCAGACTGACATCATGAATGGTCAAAGTGAGGATAATAGATCTCCTTTAAAAAAAAATGTAGAAAGAAAGTTTTCTATTTTGTTGTTCGTCTTGCCGTCTGTGTTTTATCCACTCCGCCTGACCCAAACCTGCCTCTCCTCTCCTCACACACAAACTCTGACGTGGCCGAGCGACTCTGCAATCATCCACATGATGCAAAACCCCTCTGCACCAAGAGGAGAATTCCCCCCGCAGGGAGAATGAAATAACACCTGACACACTCAAACACTAAAAACCTCCGCCTCCCTGACAGGTTGAGGTTTCCCAGAGGAGTTCACTGCTGGGTGTTAAATCACCGCAGGTTGACCCTCCCACAGCTTCATCAGCTTGTTCCCATTAACGGGGTTTGGAGTCTGATCTCACAGGAAGTTCTCAGTTATTCACACAAACACAAATACCATCCTGTCGACACTTTATTAACGGACGGTTATGGAGTGTGAACTTTAATGAGCATATGGCCAACACCTCGCCCTATTCTTAAAGGACCGGTTCACCCGAAGTAAAAATGTGATCGTGTACTTTATGTGAAAAACAAAAAAAAAAGATTGAATCATATTATACGAGAAAATCTATTGATGTCCCTGGAAACTGTTGGTAAAACGAGTGAGTTCAAGGGATACACAGTTTTAAAAATACTCTCTAGTTGAATTTTGTCGCTCTAAATTAAACCACATCATGTGTTTCTGATTGTTGACACGTGTTTACAGATAACCCTAACCCCCCTAAAGTTCCCTTTAAAGGCTTTATATGTGATTTTTAACACTTAAATGTAGAAATCAAGTCTATCCTCTGAAAATAACTCTGTGAGTCATGACTGTCTACAATGGGTGTAACACCCGAGTCCCACTGTCTGTGATGTTTTCAGAGTTTTCAGAGTCCTATCTTCACTTTGTTTACATCGCCAGGACGGCCGGCTGACTCCTCCCCTCGTGTATAAAAGTTGTTTAATTGAGGGACTAGAGAAAAGAAGAATAACATACTGTACTCACTGCTTAACTGTGTTTCTAGATCACGCTCATGCGATTTTTTGATCCAACAGATGTCGCCCTTGAGCATCAGCATGAAACCAAAACAACTGGCGCTGCATTGTTGTGTTAGCATGCTAATGCTAGCGATCTTTATTCTGCTGGTATCTTCACACTGCATGTAAATTTACCTGAAATGAGCGTGATCTAGAAACACAGTTAAGCAGTGAGTACAGTATGTTATTCTTCTTTTCTCTAGTCCCTCAATTAAACGACTTTTATACACAAGGGGAGGAGTCAGCCGGCCGTCCTGGCGATGTAAACAAAGTGAAGATAGGACTCTGAAAACATCACAGACAGTGGGACTCGGGTGTTACACCCATTGTAGACAGTCATGACTCACAGAGTTATTTTCAGAGGATATACTTGATTTATATTTAAGTGTTAAAAATCACATAGAAAGCCTTTGAGGAGCATTGTTGTTGTTCAGAATAAAATCATAACTCTTGTTCTTTGGGGTTAAAGTTTTGTGACACACCCTGACCTCTCCACAGGGCAGCGGGTGTTTGTAAGCTACTCACAGTTCCAGGTCTGGGATAGGGGATGCGGCCCTTGTACTCCACCCAGCGATAGTCTGGACCTTCTTTATGAGCAAACGGCCCGTTGAACGCCGCTCTTATAGACGCCATGGAGTATACACACACCGCCGAACCACGGAATATGGAGCTGCAGGAGAAAGAGAAGATGGAGAGACCGATTAAAAGCAAAGGATGATGAAGAAGAGGAAAAGGTTGAGCAAATGACAAAAGGGAGAGGAGACGGGTATGTAAAGAACGGCGAGTAGAAGAAGAAAGACGATATATATTCAATGTTCAGTAAATAGTTCATACTGAACAGAGATTCATCCACATAAACACAAGAGAAAGATAGACAGAGTAATCAAAGAGTGAGGGAGAAAAAGAGAAGTTAAAGAGAGGAATGAACAGGAAGTCAGGTGAAGGTGGCAGGAAAGGAGGAGGAGGGATCAAATAGGAGGGGAGGAAGGAAGGATGGATGGGAGGACAGAAACACAGAGCTGAGTTTACTTTATAACATCACATCAGGGCTACAATAACACGACCAGCTGGGCCTCTTCACCTTTAGCCCTGACACCCACCCAAACCTGACCTCTGACCCACATCCACTGGGCGTGCACGTGCCAGCCCGCTGTTAGCGTGCACCCAAGAGCGGAGGAAATCCTCCAAACG